AATACAGGTAAATTGAACTCCTGCAGCTGAATAGATAAAAATTAATTTAACCTTGCTGCAACAACTCAAAGGACACTTAGGATGCGCAAGAGGATTATTCCAGACTATGTGTTATATTTCCCAAAAACACCACACTTGGCTTTCCAATATCTGCTGAAAAAAAACTCTTTAATTCCAACAGTTCTAAACCACTCCACTTGAATTAGCCAAATCATTAGGATTTCTAAATTAGCAGCAGCACTGTACTAGACAGAGCAGGGTAACAATTCAACCTGCAGGGGTGGGGTGGATAAAATAGGGATTTGAGGAGGCTGAGCTTACCAAGGGTAGGAATAATTGAGGAAAAACTTGCACATTCAGTGAATCTAAAACCTGAAAAAAAAGTCAATTTGAATCACAAAAAGGCCTCTGAAAACACCCAGAAACACATGAAAAAAACCCCACAAATTCCAGAAGTAACAACACTAGAAAACTAGTTGAAAAATAAAGCTGCCACCCCTCCTTGCTGTGCGCTCAAGGAAAAGGGAGACCACAGCTTCATCCCAAAAATCCAAATTCTTCCTGCTGTCTCTCCCTATTACTTCACTTTCCTTCCCCAGTCATGGTCATCATGTGCAGCCAAATTCTTTTAATTAATCCAATTAGCTAATAGCCTCTAATAGGCTCCAACAGCCCTCCCCCTTTTGCTCCAGGAGCAGAGGCTGCACTGGCAGCTGAAGGTGTAGAGAAGGGGAAGGACAAAAGTGGTACCTACAGGAGGTGGGAGAGGAGGAATTTGTCCCCAAGAACCCAAAAAGTTTCCTGCGAAGTCTCAGGAAAGAGCTTGGCAAACACACAGAGACTTTTAAGCATAACGTGTCCTGGTTTGCTGGAAATAATATCTAAGGATAAGCAGGAAAAATGAAAAGCTGATTTCAGTGTCACTTGTAGCACATCATGCACAGAGGTTCCCTGTTCCTGTTTTATCTCAATGGCCTATTCTGCTCTGATTTCTGTTTTCTGAGCTGGTTTTTCTGTTTTTCTGAGCTGAGTTTTAGGTTCCAAGGTCTTTAGCCTGTGATTTTTGCCTGCATTTCAACCCAGACAAAAAAGCTGATTTCACTGGGAAAGGAAAGCAAAACCAGGCAAGGTGCTAGAGCACAAAAAAGTTCCTGGTCAGGTTTATGTTGGAGTTTACACATTTCTTCTTCAAAGATGATGTAGGGGTAGGCTGGGGGAAGACCTGATTGTCTCCAGAGCAGGGAGAGCTCAGCTCCTGCTGCTCCAGCCAGGCTCGGCTGCCCCACAGAGGGCTGTGAGCACAAGCACAGCCCTGAACCCCCCATAACCAGTGAATAACCCGCAGAAAGACTGTTCTGGTCAGGAACATTAATGCTTAAACACCAAACGTTTGTGTCCAAAAAGGAGGCAGAGGAGTCCTGAAGCTTTATTCAAATAAAGGCAGAGGCCATGGGGCATTCCCCTGGGGTGTCTCAAATTGTTAGAGGACACAACCTCCTTTTTATCCAAATTTCCTGGCTGCATTTCCCTCTCTCTTTCCCCATTGGCTGAGATACATGAGAGGTACAGATTTCCTAAATCACCTAAGACAGACCCCTTCTAATGTATACCCCCCTCCTTTTTATTTTCCTAAGGAATTTCTGGTTCCTCCCATTGCTTCTTTCACCTCTCAGCATCCAGCTTGACCCACAGTTTGTAAAGACAGATCTCCCTCATTCCTTTAATGGATCAGTGGAATCTTTCCCATCGTTTCTTTCACCTCAGTACCTGGTTTTATTCACCAGACCCCCAGTTTGTTTGAACAGACAGATCTCTCTCATTCCCTCCATTCTGGGTGCTGGGGAAGGCACAAGGGGCCATGGCTTGGCTGTGCCCCTGTCCCCTGCCCCGCCAGGCTCCAGCCCTGCCCTCCCCCTGCGTGTGGGTGCCAGGGCTGTGACAGCAGTGCTGAGCAGTCCCACGTCACTGCTGCTGCCAAACTTAGCCCTGGCCCTGGAGGGGTCTGCCCAAATAGCTGCTGTTTGCTCCTGTGAGCATGGCATGCCTCACTGCAGACAGCTTCCAGCCCTTTGGGGAGAGGGCAGGGATGATTCATCCTGAGGAGCAGGGAAGGAAGGGGACGGTGTCAGCCCCGGCTCTCAGTGCTCCTCAGAAGATGTTTTACAGCACTGTCGAAGAAAAGCTGCTGTGCCTCTTCCAGAGTGGAACAGAAGGGGGATTGAGGGGCTGGATTAACCGGAACACTCCAATATTTTGTCATTCACCACTGCTAGCAAGGAATTGTTGACTATTCTTAGGCTTCTCTTCTTGTTTAATTGGAATACCACAAGGACTCCCTAATTCTAAAAGCCATGGATCTCATCACAGTGTGGAAGGAGCCTCTCCAACAGCTGATAGCAGCATCCTGGGAGAAACAGGAGCCTGGCTGTGCCTTCTGGCACAGAGTAAAACAGCACAGAAGCACCCAGGAGTGGCAGTCAGAGAGGAGTGGAAAGGTTTTGTCAAAATCCATAGCATGCTTTTTATTATTAGAGCCAGGCTTGGGTAGTCAAGACGAGAAAGAGTCTTTAAGAAAAGAATTTCATTTCCTGTGTTGCAGGCTGCTGTATAAGAGGGTGCCTCAGGCGCAAGAGCATGAGTGTGTTGTGTATTTAAAGCAAGAATTTCTCCCTGTATGTAGGCCAGCGATATAAGAAAGGATCATAGAAAAATTTGGGTTGGAAGGGACCTTAAAACTCACCCAGCTCCACCTCTGCCATGGGCAGGACACCTTCGACTGTCCCAGGGGCTCCAAGCCCCAGTGTCCAAGCTGGCCTTGGGCACTGCCAGGGAGCCAGGGGCAGCCACAGCTGTTCTGGGAATTCCAGCCCAGGCAGGAATTCCTAATTCCCCAAACTCCCATCTATGCCTACCCTCTGGCACTGGGAGCCATTCCCTGTGTCCTGTCCCTCCATCCTTGTCCCCAGTCCCTCTCCAGCTCTCCTGGAGCCCCTTCAGGCCCTGGCAGGGCTCTGAGCTCTCCCTGGAGCCTTCTCCTCTCAGGTGAGCACCCCCAGCTCTCCCAGCCTGGCTCCAGAGCAGAGGGGTCCATCCCTCTCATCACATTTGTGGCCTCCTTTTGACCTATTCCAACAGCTCCCCATCCTTTTGATGCTGGAGGCCCCAGGGCTGAACACTCCAGGCACCCAGCAGAGCACAAAAGATAAAATCACAGCCCTGGCTGGGAGTGAGGCTGTGGCTGGGAGGTTATTTAACTTCCCTTCCGCAATTCCTCTCCCTGTGGCATCTCCCTTCAGCCTCTGGCTGGGCAGGGAACTGGAGGCACTGGGGGCTCGGCTCAGGCCCAGGTTTTTTTTGTTTTGATCCCCAGCAGCTCCTGAAGCCATTCCCTGCATGGCTCTGACTGTGCCAGTGACACAGGGGGCACAGCAAACCAGCCAGGAGTGCAAGGGAACGGCCAGCAGCAGGGAAGTGCTGGCTGGTCAGCAATTATAGTTATAGTTATAGTTATAGTTATAGTTATAGTTATAGTTATAGTTATAGTTATAGTTATATCTATATTTAATATTTAAATTTTAGAGCCCCAGCTGCTCTGGGAATTCCAACCCAGCCAGGAATTCCTAATTCCCAATATCCCATCCAGCCCTGCCCTCTGGCACTGGGAGCCATTCCCTGTGTCCTGTCCCTCCATCCTTGTCCCCAGTCCCTCTCCAGCTCTCCTGGAGCCCCTTCAGGCCCTGGCAGGGCTCTGAGCTCTCCCTGGAGCCTTCTCCTCTCAGGTGAGCACCCCCAGCTCTCCCAGCCTGGCTCCAGAGCAGAGGGGTCCATCCCTCTCATCACATTTGTGGCCTCCTTTTGACCTATTCCAACAGCTCCCCATCCTTTTGATGCTGGAGGCCCCAGGGCTGAACACTCCAGGCACCCAGCAGAGCACAAAAACATAAAATCACAGCCCTGGCTGGGAGTGAGGCTGTGGCTGGGAGGTTATTTAACTTCCCTTCTGCAATTCCTCTCCCTGTGGCGTCTCCCTTCAGCCTCTGGCTGGGCAGGGAACTGGAGGCACTGGGGGCTCGGCTCAGGCCCAGGTTTTTTTTGTTTTGATCCCCAGCAGCTCCTGAAGCCATTCCCTGCATGGCTCTGACTGTGCCAGTGACACAGGGGGCACAGCAAACCAGCCAGGAGTGCAAGGGAACGGCCAGCAGCAGGGAAGTGCTGGCTGGTCAGCAATTATAGTTATAGTTATAGTTATAGTTATAGTTATAGTTATAGTTATAGTTATAGTTACAGTTATATCTATATTTAATATTTAAATTTATAATTGATAATTTACATTGTAATTTTTTACTATTTTAAACATTTCTAAAATATTTAAATTTTTTTTTCTATTTAAATTTATATTTCATTTTATCATTTATATGTATAATCTTTATAATTACTTTTGCTTTATATTTATATCTATATGTATTTATATCTACATTTTATATAGATATTTAGATATAAATCGCTATAGATATGTTTATATAGTAAGATTTATTAATATAATATAATATAATATAATATAATATAATATAATATAATATAATATAATATAATTAATATATTATATATGGCTGAGAAAAACCGCAGTTCCCTGGGGTCTATATCTATATTTATTTTTATCTATATTTTATATAGAAATTTAGCTATTTATATATCTCTATATAAATAGATATATCTATTTATATCTAAAGATAGATATCTAGTTATACCTAAATACATATATATCAAATATAGATATAAATAAATATGGATATAGACCCCAGGGAACTTCAGTTTTGCTCAGCCACAGATTTCCTGCATGACCTCAAACAAGTTGCTGAACCTCCTCTTGTTTCTCAGTTCCACACTTCCCATCCCAGGGGACATTTGTTTGCTCTGCCAGGGCAGCTGGGATTATTTAATTCATTAGGGGAGTGTCATGTCAAGTACATCGATATAAATTAAAATACACAGAATGGGGTTTGCCCATTTCCTTTAATTTTTGAGAACAAAGTCAGTAAATGAAATCTTGTGCCCTTCAAAACCAAACATAATCTTTCTTTGTGCAAAATGTTACATAAACCATAGTGGTTGTTCATTTTTATTGTATTATTTTTAATAATTCTGCAAATATTTCAGAAAAGGGCAGTTGGCTCCTACTGCATTAAAAAATCATCACCACAGAGCTGGGTTTTTTACATCTCCCCTCATATAATTTCAAAAAAATCCCCAACCACAATTAGGAAATTTACCCTCCCACTTCCCTCCCCACAAAAAGAAAAAAAAATATTTTTTTTAATCAATAAAGTGTTAAACAAATCAGCAATCAGCACACAGAGCAGAGCTCAGCAGTAAGACGGGGGATGCTTTAGAGCACAGGTGAAATGTTCATAGCAGCACGGGAGCAGCTCCTGGGCACAGCACAGCCTTCCTGCAGGCCTGGGGCCAGGACCACGGGACTCACACAAAGCACAGGGAGCCCTTTTTGTCCTACAGCAGCGTTTATCCCCATCCCAGTGATGCTTTAGGGTTTTAGCTTTTCTATTTTTCAATTCCTGTGCTGCATTAATGCATAATCTAAACTCCATACAGAGTGCTGGGTACTGTCTCCACATTTTGGGCAGACACAACAATTCCTCTCCAGGCCTGGAACTCAAGGACACCTCACTGCCTCAGGCCCCAAAAAGGAAAACCTAAAGTGAGCTGGGAGAGCAAACTGGGGTAAATGACTTCATTACCTGCAGCTGGAATTGGAGCATTAACCCATTAACTGATAATTGTGTGAAAACCTCGTGCCCATCGCCCACCTTGGGTGCAGCCTCTGGAGGCTGTGGCTGCCCAAGCTGTGCCTGCTGAAGGCTTTAATAAATCCCCACTTTATTCCCTTAACCTTGCCTGGCCTCTGCTCTGGGGGCCCCTCCAAAGCATCAGTTTCCTGCCCCATCTGGGGTGCCAAAACCACCAAGACATCACCTCAGCCCGTGTGGGGTCACTTTGTGCCCATGGATGGCCCCAGGAGCAGGGGCTGCACCTCTTGGCACTTCCTCAGAATCCTGACTGCCGAGGGAATGACTCTGAAATCCAGGCCAAGCACAACCTAAAGGTTCTCAGGAGTCCCAAAATCCAGACCCAGCACAACCTAAAGGTTCTCAGGAGTTCTGAAACCACGGCTAAGCACAGCCTAAAGGTTCTCAGGAGTCCCAAAATCCAGACCCAGGACAAACTAAAGATTCTCAGGAGTTCTGAAACCATGGCTAAGCACAGCCTAAAGGTTCTCAGGAGTCTGAAATCCAGGCCAAATACAACCTAAAGATTCTCAGGAGTCCCAAAATCCAGGTCCAGGACAAACTAAAGATTCTCAAGAGTCCTGAAACCAAGGCCCAGCACAACCTAAAGGTTCTCAGGAGTCCTGAAATCCAGGCCCAGCACAACCTAAGGTGCATCTCCCTTCAGTGATCAGAAAATATCTTCACATTCTCCATGCGAGGGACCATAACCCACCCCAAGGCCCACGTGCAGCTCTGGGGCCTTGGTTCTGCAGCCTGGGTGGTTGGGGAGAAAGCCAAGGAAGGGAGACTGGGGTCACAAATATTCCTGGCTTGTTGGGACTTCCAAAACTGAGAATTCCTAGATTTTGGAGTGTTGATGTCAATTCAGTTTCTTCACTGTATATAAATCAATCTGTGGTTTCAATTCTGGGAACATTCCTCTCCCAGTTTTCCCATGGGACTGAGTTTTGGCTCCCTCTGAGGGAGGCACAAAATGATGGTTTTGTGCCTTCCTAAATCCAGGTTTCTTCCAAATGTTCTGCCCCAGGCACCTCACAATGGAGACATGAAAACGGGACTTACAGGATCTGAAGTCCTCTGCTAGGCTTCCACCTTGCCACATACAAAATAAACCCCTACAAATAAGATAAAGTAAAAATTAAATGACTCTATTAGATTTAATGAAGTGACTCGAGACAAAGCAGTTCCATAAAAATGCTTTTTTAAAGAAGTAACAGCAAGAGCTCAGAGAAGTGCTGACTGCAGGTACAGTTCTAGCCAATATTAAGATATATTTAGTGATTTCTAGGAAAATATTTCCTTGGGAGAAGGTCAGGAGCCATTTCTGTTGCTTACAACTCCAGGTGCTGTTTCTGAGCTCCAGTGGGTTGGAGTTGCAGAGAAGGCAGCAGGTTTTATGACATTTCTTCTGGGCTGTCTCTTGTCTCTGCTCCTGAATCCTGTGCAGTGCAGGATGCTGTTCCTCCACAGGTTTCTCACACAACCATCAAATAAAAAAAAACAGGCCAAGAAAAAAAATGTCCAGAACAAATAACAGTGCTTGGAGTATGATCAGGTAAAAAAACCCACATCCTAAGACAGAGTGTAGGAGTTTCCATACTGGGCCATCTGCACACCTCCTGGAACAACCATCCAGCAGCTGGATCCACGTACAAAACCAGCTTTAAACCCAGGATTTTAACCCTAACCAGTCCAGAGCAAGGCCTGACTGAGAAAGCCAGCACTGCTCCCTTTGTGCCAGCGAGGGGTCACAAGAGCCCTGTGAGAATCCCCTCCCTGCACCACCCAAAAATGACCTCCTGGGGCTCCTGCACGGATAAAGGACATCACCCCAACCTTCTGCTAAAGAAATCCCTGCTCTGACTTCAGACTCCATCCCATCCAGGGCAGAGGAATCTGTGCCTGATCTGAGGGGACCTGGGAAGGGCCCTGAAGAGGAATCAGAACCCCCTGAATTGCAAGGATCATCCAGGCCAGCTCCTGGCCCTGCAAAGAACACCCCAAACCCCACCCTGTGCCAGCAGAGGAGCTGTGTAGGGATCCACACTGGCACTGTAGGATTCTGGATTCCTTTGGAAGGGAATGAGTTGTACAGACAGAGAGCCCTAAACCTGGCCCTAAACCTGCTCTTTTCCCTTCAGGACATCTCCAGCTCAGTGAAATAACTTTGATCTCCTGCTGGACAAGCACACACAAACTCAGGTCAGTCCAGGGAGCGGGAAGTGCTGGCCAAAATTCAGGAGCAGCCACCCACGGAGGAAAATGGAAAGGTTTGGGAGCACATCCTGACAGAGACCAGGAACTTACAGCAGCAAAATTCAGAGCCCTTCAGAACCAGCCTCTATCCAATCTCCAGGAAAACTGCGGCTCAGGATGGGCCCATTCCACATTTCCAGCCCTGCTGAAGCCAGTGGAGGGTGGAGGGAAGGAGGTGGGAGCAGCTGAGGTGCTGTTGGCATCACCAAACTCACCCTGAAAGGAGATTTCTTCCCAAGCAAACCACAGGACAGGCTGGTCCCCTTTATATACACACATGGACAGCTGAAATGGGCTGAAATGCTTACAGGTTAGAAGGTCTATACAACATTACACCTGCCACAAATCAAAGTAGAAAAGTTTTACAGCACATTATACAGGTCCCTCTAAAGTCTAAAAAAAAAACCAAAAAACATTGACTGGAATCACCATATTACAAGAAGTCATCACTAACAGACCATATAATACTATTTCTTTTTCTTTTACAGAATCATTACAGATAGAGTAATTTAAAAAAATCACTTTTTAAACAAGTATACAATTTTCACTTTAAAATTAACTGGTTAATAAAATTCTGTGCAAAACAAGCCAGCCTCTATAATTAAGTGAATTTATTTATTTCTTTATACAAAAAAAATAAAACAAGAAAAAAAAGTTCTTTCAGAAATGTGTCTCCTTTTCTGTGATGGTGGAAATGGCGCCATCTCCTTTCAGTTTGGCATCGCAGTCATTTATTGCTGCAATGTAGGCTCCTCCTCCGAGCTTGCCCCGCATTTTCAGGTCTGAGCTAGGTGTAATCAGCTTCCTGAATTTCTAGAAAATTGGAGAAATTGGAAATCATTACGTTTTTCTTGGCCACAGACACACCTCTCTTTAACAGATCCATTATAAAAGGCTTTACTCCTGCACGTCTGCCTCTCATTTATTTCCCTGTTTGGGCACACCCTCAGACCTGCAGGCTGCACAATTCTGGGTAAATCCTTCCAGACCAAAGAAGGCAAAGCTCAAACCAAAGCGAATTTTTATGCTGATTTAATCATCCCTTTTCATGAAGACTCTCAGCACTCTGTCTGTTCTACAGGTGCATTTTGTTTCTCATTTTATCATCAATGATGTCCGCTGGAAAAAGCAAATAAACCAGAGACAGCCAAGGTGTGTTGAGCTGTGATAAAGCAAAATCTACTTTCTCTTTTCTAGCAATGACATCCACAGCAAGGCTGCTGCTCACAGCAGGAAGTTGGCTCCTCAAGAAGCTCCCAGCTGTGATTCAAAGAATCTCTTGTCATCCTGGCAGGGAAAAGATAACAACCTGTCTGCAGTGCTGCAGCTCCAGCAAACTCTGCTCACCTGCAGGACAGCTGGGGCTGGTGCACTGAGAAAATATTTAATGTTTAGATTTGTGCAGACTTCCTTTTTTAACTCTCTGAGACAATGGACAATCCACTTTTAGTTTATATACCCAGCAAGGATTTCCTAGGCAGTCTCCAGGCTGTGTTTAATCAGCTGAACAGAGTCTTTGCAATATGGACAAATTGAGGCTTTTCTGCAATGTTGGAATCCCAAATGGCTGAAAAAGGTTTGTGTTTTTGTTTCTTCCACTATTGCTTCCTTCACTGCCTTTCTCTGGAGCTCCCACAGAAACAAGCAATCTTCCAAGCCTAAATTTGATAATATAAGCCCAGCCTAGACCTGGGCTAACCTGAAACCAAATGTCAGAAAATTCCACTGAATCTCTTTATTTGCTTGAGTTTCTCATTTAGAGAACTGAAATTAGGAAAACTGCCCAGAAAATGGGAATGTGGGCAACCCAGCTCCTGGAGAAAATCCTGGCAACACAATGAAAATTATGGAAAAAGGGAATGGCTGGTACAAACCTTGAGGGATTTGGGTGATGTTACAGACATTTTAAGCTGCAAATTGTGCTGGAACAGAGCACCTTCAATTGGTTAATTTACCACTGGCAGCAAAAAACCCCACAGGAATTCAGAACAAAGCAGGGAAAGTTCAGAATTCTCTTTCCAGCAGCGGCTGAGAACCCTAAAGCAGGGAAGAGGGATGTGGCACTGCTGTTGTGGTGAAAGGACGCTGGTGAGGAGTCCCACCCCCTTCCCAGCTCTTTTTCCAGCATCACTGCACTGCAGCTCTCTCTCACCTCCATGAAGGTGCCTTCTGTCTTCCAGAGCTTGATGCAGATCCACAGCGGGATGCAGACCATGGAGGACAGTGCCATCATCCAGCCGATGCCGTAGCCCCAGTCAGGGTAGATGTACACATTGTTGTACTTCAGGGGCTTGTATTTCACCAGGAAAAAGATGAAGATTCCCTGAAATGAGCAGAGATATTTTCAGAGGTATTTGGGCAAGCTCTGTGTGTATAACAAAGATGTGGTTGAGTGTTTAGGCCAGGCCAGGCTCCCTGAGGAGGGAGAGCAGAGGGAAGCTCTTCACTCAGAGCAAAAAACCCACCAGCAGCATCTTCTTTTCTGTACAGCTTAAATAACACATCTCAGAGGCTCCTGCAGAAACGAGCAACCTTTCAAGTTTAATCCTATTTACCTCTTGATGACAATAAACCCTGCACTTTGATGGCAAACAGCACCTGGGCAGGAAAGATTAAGTTTTGCTACAGTGAACCAGCTGTGATTAAATAATATGAGCTGAGTTCTCTCCAACTTGTCAGGATGAAAAATGAAAGCCAAAATTTTTGAAGTTGCTTTAATCCACTGAGTGTATCTGCAGTTCCAATGCTTTCATCCTGCCAAAACCCCTAAAAAATCTCTCTAAATTTCTAATCAAGCAGCTTGGACCATTTCAGTGTATGAAATAGAGAAAAGCTACCATGTAATTTTCTCCAAAGTGGTGGAACGAGTGTATAAGAGCCAATGGTATAGAGGTCATTTCAAATTTGGTGCAAATGGGTCAGAAATTTTCCTAAGTTTGCAAATGGGAGCCTGGATCTCGAGATACCCCAGCTGCTGTGGTTTGCAGTTGCCATCACTGGAGTGTTACACAGCTGGAAGGGGTTTTGGCACCTCATCCTCAATTTTAAGGGCAATCAGATCATGCTGCTTTTGGAACTTTGTCCCTGTGATGTTGCTACAGCTCTGCAGAGCTGGCACCAGCTTCCTTCCCCTCCTTCATGCCTGTGGGATGGGCTTTTGGCCTCTCCTACTACTTTTAAAAGTACAAAATGTCTTGTCTCCTTTGGAAAATGTCCACTCCCCCCAAAGAGAGAGGAGAAGGAGGAGAAAGCAGCAAAGGACCCAGCACAAGTCTGGAGGAGCTCAGGCTGTGTATTGGCACACAAAGTGCACCAACTACAAGGAAAAACATCTCTCTTGTTCTGGCAAATGTTCATTTAGGGCTCTGGCATTATTTTTGTTCCTATGATTGTACATACTAAGATTTTTCACAGAATATTTAACAATTGTACTGATCCTACAGTGTTTTTTATTTGAAATACATGCTACAAATCAATAGGCATTTCTCTCAAATATTAGCAGCAGCAAAAATAGAAAAAACAGGTACTGAACCCCCTCTTTATATCTAAAACAAGTGTTTTGGACATTCTGTACTTACTGCACAAATACCTGGAGTTAGGACCATCCAGCACCACTTAATCAACGACACAGGTTTGTACCCAATCATGTCTTCAATGTTCTCATAAAAGCGATTGCTGCCTGCCCAAAACCAAAGGAAAAGCAGATGTAGAGTACACATGGAAGGGGTTGTCCAGGTCAGGATTTAAAGCAGTAAAAGACAGACAGGGGAAGGATGAAGCTGCTCCTCTTTCCCTGGAAAATTCCTCCCTGCCATCTGCCCTGTGCTCATGGTGGGGTTGATCTACAATTCCTGCTGCTATGAAACTTCTGGTGCTATAAAACTTTTATTTCATACAGATCATTTTATCTCCTATCAGAGAGGGAGATTTCATTAGTGCAGCACAAGCTGTCACAAAAATATGAACATTTCATGTAGTCCTACTCTCCTTTTTCCTCCACACCTTGAGTTTTGCTTTCCTTCAAAGCAAGTACAAACCTAATATATTCTGCTTAGTTAGTTTATTCTCTTTGTTGTGGGATGAGGCTGTAAACAACCCAAGTCAAAGTGTATCTATTTTTTATATAAATATATTTAGATGCTATGTTTAGATGCTACAAGCTCATGTGTGAACCCAAGGATAGCTGGGCACAGGTGACCTGCAGTTCTATGGCTCTTTACAAAGTGAAATTATCCATAGTGTGCATCTTTGTGGAGAAAAAGGCATTTATGACTTTTTTGGGGCATGACTATGGGGAAGATCCCATTCCATAAAGGCAAAAGTTTCTCACTTTGCTTTTATGCAAACAGAAAGCTTTGATAAGAAAAACAGAGCAATTTTCATCACTCACCATACACCCAGCCTATGCAGACACACTCAAATATGGCCACAAAGAGCAGGCACATCCCACTGGCTGCATAGGAGTCAAAGAGCTGGAAGACATACATCCCACCCTGGAAAAGAAATTAGGAAAGGGGGAAAAAAATTGGGTTGGCACCAGTGGGAATATTTCATAGCAAACTCTTAATTACACTGTCGAGCTGTTGGCTCCCTGGCAAGCTTCCTACTGAAGTTGGTTCCTTCTTGAACAAAGAATATTAATTTCTTGGATTTTTTTTTTTAATTTTCCGCACTTTTTTAAGGGGGATAAATTTGGAGTGGAAAGAAGTAAATTTGATTTTTTTCCAAAAATACTCTCCTTCCTCCCTGCTTTTGCCTCTGTTTTTTATCACATCAAGCTGTGGATATTCCCAGGTGGTTCTGACCTCCAGATCCTGGTTCTGTGTCTGTGTTATTAATATGTAAAATAATTAATTAAAATGTGGGGAAAGAAGGTAAAATCTGTAGCTACCAAAATCCCTCTCTGATGGTGTAGGGACTAGAAAATGAGTGAAGTGACCTAAAAAGTGTGAATGCAGCTCACAGACTTGAAGCCACATAACTGAAACAAGCCTTTATTATTTGTCACAAAGAGAAAGAAATAAGAATCATCCAATCAATAACATTATGGTTAAAATAATTAAAATTATATGGATAATATTACACTGCTTTATATGTGAGATACTTAATTGTTTATCACATCTGTATTATTAATATTGAAATAATGAGGAGGAGGAGTTCACAAGAGAGCATTTCAATGAAAAGGAATTCTAAGGAAGGAAAGAAGGGCTTGAGATGAACTCCTCAGTTGGAATGTAATGGTTTTTGGGGAGCTCATGTGACCCAGTACATCTCAGACAACTTTCTGCAGATGGAAGAGAATCCTAAAAATAGGAAGAAAATGAAATTTCTGCTGCAAAGTCATCATGGTGAGGCTCAGCAAATGCCTGAGCAAAATGCAAATTTAGAAATCAACTGACTAAGACAATACAAGGTGAGGAGAACAAAACCCCT